ATATCAATGGAATATTCATTGCAACGGTTTATTTTTGTTGGAATTTCCTTTTGAATCATTCTAAACTAATCTATATGCGTTAAAATTTACATTGAAATATATTACTGTAAAATTTTCAGTTGGAATATGACAATTTTTTTGTAGTGCGACTAGCTTTCAAAGGTTTTCTTGGAATCAAGAGAGCGGAACCAGTTACTAATATAACATTCATAAAGGAAAGTTTATTAAAAAAAACAATTCACTACAAGAAAATGATAAAATTCCAACGAAGAGTTACAACGGAAATACATTTCAATAGAATTCCAACGGCAATTTGAATGGATATTCCAATGCTATTATTTCCGTTGGAATGTTCCAATGGATTGCAACAGAAATTTCAACAAAAATATTCTATTGGAATGAGTTTTCATTCTTCGCCTTTCGTATTATCTTCAGATACTTTGTTACATTACTTAGGGATTAAGTGTTGGCTTGCTCGAGGGATTCGAGTTTGTGATTGTCCACAGGTTGTGGTCAGAGAAGTGATTCGAGTATAGAAGAGAGTATAGTTTTGGCTATGATAGAAGAGAGTTCTAGTTGCATAACAATCGATCTATTAATGAAAGATCTTTTAGAGGTGGTGGGAAGCTCCCCGAAGAGTTTTTATCTCTTGTTTGTGCTTTCGCAAAATTACTTATCTCAATATTGCAACACAGTTTAATTATTCTAAATATCCGTGTTCTAACACAGTTTAGCGCACCCATTGTCATAAACCCTTGTTTCACAACGGAAATTCCAACAAAAGTATTTCATTTGAATTTTCGTTGGATTTTAACAATTACAACTGTTGAAATATGAGTGGCTATACAAATTCCAGCAAAAATTGCATATTCCAATAGAAATTTGTACAGTGAAAAGCCGTCGAAGAAATAGTCGATGGAATCACAAAATTAATCTATCTAAAATTTCAATGGAATACTCATTGCAACGGATTATTTTTGTTGGAATTTCCTTTTGAATCATTCTAAACTAATCTATATGTGTTAAAATTTACATTGAAATATATTACTGTAAAATTTTCAGTTGGAATATGACAATTTTTTTGTAGTGCGACTAGCTTTCAAAGGTTTTCTTGGAATCAAGAGAGGGGAACCAGTTACTAATATAACATTCATAAAGGAAAGTTTATTAAAAAAACAATTCACTACAAGAAAATGATAAAATTCCAATGAAAAATTACAGCGGAAATACATTTCAATAGAATTCCAACGGCAAGTTGAATGGATATTCCAATGCTATTATTTCCGTTGGAATGTTCCAATGGATTGCAACAGAAATTTCAACAAAAATATTCTATTGGAATGAGTTTCATTCTTCGCCTTTCGTATTATCTTCAGATACTTTGTTACATTACTTAGGGATTAAGTGTTGGCTTGCTCGAGGGATTCGAGTTTGTGATTGTCCACAGGTTGTGGTCAGAGAAGTGATTCGAGTATAGAAGAGAGTATAGTTTTGGCTATGATAGAAGAGAGTTCTAGTTGCATAACAATCGATCTATTAATGAAAGATCTTTTAGAGGTGGTGGGAAGCTCCCCGAAGAGTTTTTATCTCTTGTTTGTGCTTTCGCAAAATTACTTATCTCAATATTGCAACACAGTTTAATTATTCTATATATCCGTGTTCTAACACAGTTTAGCGCACCCATTGTCATAAACCCTTGTTTCACAACGGAAATTCCAACAAAAGTATTTCATTTGAATTTTCGTTGGATTTTAACAATTACAACTGTTGAAATATGAGTGGCTATACAAATTCCAGCAAAAATTGCATATTCCAATAGAAATTTGTACAGTGAAAAGCCGTTGAAGAAATAGTCGATGGAGTCACAAAATTAATCCATCTAAAATATCAATGGAATACTCATTGCAACGGTTTATTTTTGTTGGAATTTCCTTTTGAATCATTCTAAACTAATCTATATGCGTTAAAATTTACATTGAAATATATTACTGTAAAATTTTCAGTTGGAATATGACAATTTTTTTGTAGTGCGACTAGCTTTCAAAGGTTTTCTTGGAATCAAGAGAGGGGAACCAGTTACTAATATAACATTCATAAAGGAAAGTTTATTAAAAAAAACAATTCACTACAAGAAAATGATAAAATTCCAACGAAGAGTTACAACGGAAATACATTTCAATAGAATTCCAACGGCAATTCGAATGGATATTCCAATGCTATTATTTCCGTTGGAATGTTCCAATGGATTGCAACAGAAATTTCAATAAAAATATTCTATTGGAATGAGTTTTCATTCTTCGCCTTTCGTATTATCTTCAGATACTTTGTTACATTACTTAGGGATTAAGTGTTGGCTTGCTCGAGGGATTCGAGTTTGTGATTGTCCACAGGTTGTGGTCAGAGAAGTGATTCGAGTATAGAAGAGAGTATAGTTTTGGCTATGATAGAAGAGAGTTCTAGTTGCATAACAATCGATCTATTAATGAAAGATCTTTTAGAGGTGGTGGGAAGCTCCCCGAAGAGTTTTTATCTCTTGTTTGTGCTTTTGCAAAATTACTTATCTCAATATTGCAACACAGTTTAATTATTCTAAATATCCGTGTTCTAACACAGTTTAGCGCACCCATTGTCATAAACCCTTGTTTCACAACGGAAATTCCAACAAAAGTATTTCATTTGAATTTTCGTTGGATTTTAACAATTACAACTGTTGAAATATGAGTGGCTATACAAATTCCAGCAAAAATTGCATATTCCAATAGAAATTTGTACAGTGAAAAGCCGTCGAAGAAATAGTCGATGGAATCACAAAATTAATCTATCTAAAATTTCAATGGAATACTCATTGCAACGGATTATTTTTGTTGGAATTTCCTTTTGAATCATTCTAAACTAATCTATATGTGTTAAAATTTACATTGAAATATATTACTGTAAAATTTTCAGTTGGAATATGACAATTTTTTTGTAGTGCGACTAGCTTTCAAAGGTTTTCTTGGAATCAAGAGAGGGGAACCAGTTACTAATATAACATTCATAAAGGAAAGTTTATTAAAAAAACAATTCACTACAAGAAAATGATAAAATTCCAATGAAAAATTACAGCGGAAATACATTTCAATAGAATTCCAACGGCAAGTTGAATGGATATTCCAATGCTATTATTTCCGTTGGAATATTTCAATGGATTGCAACAAAAATTTCAACAAAAATATTCTATTGGAATGAGTTTTCCATTACAATTTCCGTCCAACGGGGTGAAAATAAAAATTACAGTGAAAATTATATATTTCAACGAAAATTACTACGGTAAAAAATTATTGAAAAAATAATCGTTGATATTATCAAATTCCATCTAAAATTCTAATGGATAACTCATTCCAACGAAATGTTTTCGTTGTAATTTTGAAATCATTCCAACGGAAACTATGCTATTGGAATATCCATTAAAAATTTTATCAGAATATATTACCATAAGATTTTTCGTTGAAATATAACAATTTTTTTGTAGTGAGTCTTACGTAATAAAAAGATCTAATCAATTTTGCTTATATATTTAGGATCAAATTTAGCCTCCATTAATTGTGTGAGTTTCTGATCATTAGACTAGTTGTGAAGCCAGCAGCTCACACACACTAGTGGTCTTTGAGCCGTGATACAATTCGCTTCTTTTCGAAAACAATTACTTTGACGGTGACCAAAGGTCAAAGCCACCAACTCGGACAAGTAAATTTACTTTTCCGTTTTTCTCGTCAACAATTTGCATCCCACACTACAAATTCTACCTGGGGGTAATGCTCACAACTTATAACACTAATATGTGGAACTTAATTCCAACTTTTACTCTAATGTTACAACTTCTATTAGAAAACTTTAATAGAAACTTCAATAAAAATATTAGTTGAAATGAGTTTTTTAATTTTTAAAAAAATAAATCCAGTTGAATTTTGAGAATTCAGTTGGAATTATTACCCATGGAAGTGGATCCAATAGAAGTTGCAAAATTCAACATGAATTACTATAAAATGTTGAGAAAAGTGTTGTAGGAATATTACAACTTGAGTTACATGACAAATTTAACATAGTATTTTAGTGTATAAATTATATGTTCTTTTGGAAATTGTTTTTATTCGCTGTTTATTTTATTTTTTTCCTCACTAACGAATGCTCTATCATCCAAGCCTGTGGCTATGGTGTTAATAATCATAAAAAAAAATTGATGTATGCATTAAAACACTGAAGAACTAATGTATAAGATACCCAAGATTTATCTACAACTGGCGTGCCCAAAGAAAATCTTATAATCTAATTTCAACTCCACGGAGTGTTATATAAAGTAAATTAAGAATGTATCAATCTGGCTCACGAGAGTATGAACTTTTCGTGTTCCCTTTTGAATAGTCCATGTCTCTCTATTTTGGGTAACGAAACCCACTTGTTTTGCATTTTATCTTCCTACTTATACAAGTATTAACATTGATCATATAGTCTCATAATTCTAGTCCACATTACACGAAGAAATCAGTCCTCATAATATTGTTCATTACTTCATTTTATTTTCTTAATCAATCCGTGTAATTCTGACCCGTCCCAATCTCTCAGATCGACCTAACTTATAAACTTTTGATCACCCCATAGTATATATACTATGATGTGAGAAGTTATTTAAATTAGGTCGATCAAAAAGTTTATAAACTTGGGCACTTAAGAGCCCAAATTGTAAAATCAAAATACTGTTACCAAATTACACATGGACCCACTCCACCAACCTTATCACCAGACGAGCTCCAGCAAATTAAATTTGGGCACGAACAACCCATAAAATTGAATTTTATAACTGGTCTGGGCCAAAAGGTTAAGAACTCAATACAATATTATTAAAAAAATCTAAAATCAACCTACAAATAATTTTTTATTAGTATACTTGCGAAATTTTCCCTAAACCCTCCATAAATCAGCCCATGTGTGTTGAAATATCAACAAGCACCGTTTGTGCACCAGTAAAATGAAAAAGCAACTCTACCAACCCAAAAATCAACTTAACACTTTGCCTATTTAAATCCCCAACTCATGCACTTATCCTCGCCAACACACCACATGCAATAAAACCCTAATTTTGCATAAAAAAAAAAATTAATAATAAAATAAAAAAATGGAAACACAAGTGATCTACTCCTCACTCCCCCTCCTCCTCCTCCTCACCCTACTCTTCACGGCCCGTCGACGCTCCCGGCCCGGCCCGAACCTCCCCCCAAGCCCACCGGGCTCCCTCCCCCTCATCGGCCATGTCCACCTCCTCAAAACCCTCGTCCACCGAACCCTCCACGACCTCGCTCGAGACGTGGGCCCCATCTTCACCCTTCGCTTCGGCCGCCGCCCCGTCGTCGTCGTCTCCTCCGCCACCCTGGCGGCCGAGTGCTTCGACCGCCACGACCTCGTCCTCGCGACCCGGCCCGAAGCCTCCGTCGATCGCAACTCGCTCGGCTTCGGGCCCACCACCGTCATCGGGGCCCCGTACGGGCCCCACTGGCGGAGCCTGCGGAGGCTCTGCGACCTCGAAGTGTTCGGCACGACTCGACTCGCCTCGTTCCTTCCTGCGCGGGCCGACGAGCGCGACCGCATGGTCTCGGGCCTTTACCGTCGGGCCGTGGAAAAAGTCCGGGCCGAGGTCGACGTTGAGGCCGTGATCGTAGAGTTGACTTTCAACAATATCATGAGGATGGTGGCCGGGAAGAGGTACTACGGGGAGGAGGCGGAGGACGACGAGGAGGCCAAGAGGTTCCGGGATTTGACCAAGGAGGCGCTCGAGTTGACCAGCGCGGCCAACCCGGGAGAGATTTTCCCTGTCCTGAACTGGCTCGGTTTGAATGGGCTCGAGAGGAAGATGGCGAGTCATGCTCGAAAAACGGACGACTTCATGCGCGGGTTGCTCGACCAACACAGGCGGGCGCGCGGAGGAGATACGATGGTCGACCGTCTGCTAGCGATGCAGGAGAAGGATCCCGGTTACTACACGGACGAACTTATTACCGGCCTCATAGTCGTGAGTTTCTCTACGCCAAAGAAAAAAAAAAAAACTAATTTTTGAAATCTTTTTGCCATATGATGACTACAATCCCGTTGACGGAATGATTCTGTCAGTAGTTTCTAACGTAGATTATCTACACAAAAACTAACCTACATGTATATCTACGGTAGAAACTATTGACGGAATCATTCTTCAACCGGGTTGTAGTATTTTCTTTAGTTTTATATACATTAGTAATTGAAATGTTTCTTTTTTTTTTTTTTTACAGGCGTTGATAATTGCCGGGACGGATGCATCCGTAGTTACAACCGAATGGGTGATGACTCTTCTACTGAACCACCCGGAAGTAATGGAAAAGGTCAGGCAAGAGCTCGACTCACACGTGGGCTCTGACCGAATGGTCGAAGAACATGACTTGCACAATCTCCGCTATCTCCATTATGTAGTAATGGAGACACTGAGGTTGTACCCTTCGGTCCCGATGCTGGTCCCGCACGCCCCATCTAAGGACTGCGAAATCGGGGGTTACACGGTTCCTAAAGGCACGATGGTTTTGGTCAATGCATGGTCAATCCACAGGGACCCCGCCACGTGGGACGACCCGTTGGCCTTCAAGCCCGAGAGGTTTGAGAATTTGGAGGTGGAGAATCACAAGCTTTTGCCGTTTGGGATGGGGAGGAGGGCTTGCCCGGGGGCAGGATTGGCGCAAAAGTTTGTGGGATTGGCCGTTGGGTCGTTAATACAGTGTTTCGAGTGGGAGAGGCCCGGCCCGCGAAAAATCGACATGGCGGAAGGTTCTGGAACGACTCTGCCTAAGGCCGAGCCGCTCGTGGCCGTTTGCAAGCCGAGGAGCGACATGGAGAAGGTCTTGAAACGCATTTCCTACAGTTCGTAAACGGAAAAAATGTACACGATGTCGTTTGTGAAAGAAAAAAATAAAAAAAAGTTGGCAAGCATGTTACGTATGTCGGTTAGTGGTCCCGAGTTGTGATTTATCTTGTTTTACTCGTGCTATGTTCAATATTGGAAGGTGTGTTTTGCGTTTATTTCATTCGTTCGGTCTGTATGTGATGTAATAATAAAGTTGCGAGAGGACAGTGTTGTTGAGTAGTTGTACTATGTGATGTAATATTGGTCTAAATATTGATGAGGGAAAGAAAGTTTGTGTAGCAAAATATGATGTGTGGTCTTTTGGAATATATGTCTACATAAATTTCCACACATGCGTGATTCGACTGGTCTTTGTGCATGCTTGACTAAAACTAATAATCGAGCGGTTCAGATCGAGTTGAC